CTCACTTGGTTTAGGTCCTTTGTCTTCTTTTCCCTTGCTCTAGCTAATTTATAGATATCCAACTCTCCTTCTTTGGTATCTAGTCGCTTATACATATCGTCATAAGCCGCTAACTTAGCTTCTCTCACAGCTTTCTTCGCTTCTTGCTTCGCTTTTCTATACCTTTCACCATTTTCATCGGTCCTATCCTTGTATAAGGCTTTACAACATTCCTTCTTAGCCTTCACCTTTGTTTGTACCTCCTCATTCCACCACCAAGATTCCTTTTGGTGTGGGGCAAAAACCTTTGGACTCTCCTAATACCTCTTTTGCTACTTTTCGAATACAACTAGCCATGGAATCCCACATTTGGCTAGCTTCCCTCTCTCTATCCCACACACTGGGTGATTACTTTCTCTTTGAAAATGGCTTGTTTTTCTTCTTTTAGATTCCACCATCTAGTCCTTGGGCACTTCCAAGTCTTGTTCTTTTGTCTCACTCTTTTGATATGTACATCCATCACCAACAAGCGATGTTGATTAGCCACGCTCTCTCCTGGTATAACTTTGCAATCCTTACAAGTTATACGATCCCCTTTCCTCATTAGGAGAAAATCTATTTGTGTTTTTGACGACCCACTCTTGTAGGTGATCACATGTTCTTCTCTCTTCTTAAAGAAGGTGTTGGCTAAGAAGAGATCGTATGCCATTGCAAAATCCAAGATAGCTTCCCCATCCTCGTTTCTCTCCCCAAAACCATGGCCACCATGGAAACCTCCATAGTTGCATGTCTCCCTGCCCACGTGTCCATTTAAATCTCCTCCTATAAATAACTTCTCCGTCTGAGCAATTCCTTGCACCAAGTCTCCAAGGTCTTCCCAAAATTTCTCCTTCGAACTCGCATCCAACCCTACTTGAGGTGCGTACGCACTAATCACATTGATAAGTTCTTGTCCTATTACAATCTTGATTGCCATGATTCTATCTCCTACCCTCTTGACATCTACAACATCTTGTGTCAATGTCTTGTCCACGATGATGCCAACACCGTTTCTCGTTCTATTTGTGCCCGAATACCAAAGTTTAAACCCTGAGTTTTCTAGATCCTTTGCCTTACTACCAACCCACTTAGTTTCTTGTAGGCACATAATATTTATCCTTCTCCTCACCATAACTCCGCCTATGTATCTTACATTGCCGGTCCCAAGCCCGGATAAAGGAGGAGGGGGAGGGCGTCAGGTAGTCGACAACCGGCACTCCATGATCACGTCGAATCCTTATGAAAATGAATCCAGAACAAAATCGCGCTAAAGCTAGGGCGTCACCCGTAAGTGGCGCGCTGTGTGGCCCGAGCACAGTGATAAATGAGCAAGGGTCGCTGTATCTCCATCGGCACCCGGATGCAGTGTTAAATGAGCAAGGGGGCCATAGAAACTTCTTTTCGAGCGACTCCACTCAAAGTTGTTTGGGGGTAATCAATAAGGGGTAATCAGAGCGATTCATGGAATACTTCCCACAAAAAGGGGTAATCAATAAGGATAAGAGGTTCAGTTATGACCAACAAAACAAAGAAAAAGAACATAACACTTGAATGTAGGATGAGAGCTCAAATGTATTTATATTAATGCAGTGCATCCTACTGGCCACGCAATCTCCAAAAGTGCCACCTAAACGGAGGTAGGCAATTGATGTGTGACATTTGGGGTTGACATTTGCGACATTGCTCGGAATGAAGGCATAATGGCAATAAAACAACCTTTTTTTTCACTATCCATAGACAGATCACATAGATATTATTGCATTAGACAATATTTGAAATAGGCACCTTTAGTTTTTCCTTGAGAAAATCAGTCTCGCTAAGCACTTCCCTTGTCTCACCCTCCAAGCGTTTAAGACAGGCTTCATATGCTTTAATGTCCCTATTGACATCTTCTACCTCCTTGTCAAGTTTATCAGACAATACCCTCATGCATTCAACGCATAAAGGTTGCTCGACCTGGACATGTTAGCAGAAGCCTATAGATCATAACCTACTTAAAAAACAATAACCAGCACCAACATACCATAAAACGTCAACTTCTTTTGCATTCTGATGCATACCTGTGTTTGGGTGCTCGCAATTTCAAATGCCCGTTTCAGGAGAGATATAGTAGAGTGAAAGCCAGAATTGTTAGGCTGCAAAGGACCATTGGGTCCTCCATCAGGTGACGGCAAATGAGCCCCACCACCATCCGCTGAGGACTCAGATTTATTAACAACCACAAAGGACTCATCCATTGCGTTTCCAGAATGGCCTGTATTGACTGCTCCACCACGGGGACGTGGAGGGACTCCTTGTGCTCTTTGCTGCGGTAATACAACAAAAGAATTGTCCATCCGCATTGATGATAACACACTGGTCGCCCCATGCATTGAAGAGCCCTGCATACCTGCATGTGTTCATCACCAAAACACTCACTGATTACAAACAACGAACCATTTCCAGCACACATCACTGCACCGGGCCATAAAAAAACCCTTAACTCCATGTAAATCACAAACTCAAATGTGCACAAAATATACAACTCAGGAAATCTTATATTTTAGTCAGCACTATGCGATTCTAGTCAGATATACGCTTATTTCGATCGATTAGTCCAACATGGCTCTCATTCTAGCAAAGGTTCCACAAAGAAAGAGTTCCAACTTAGCTCTTCACAACAAGGGGCACCCAGCAACAAGTCCCAAATCTATCTCAAACTATTTGCTCAACAAATTAACACTCCATGGCAAAATTTAACGCCTAAACCAGCATAATTGAAGTTTTCGAGCAGCAATTGAAATTCAAAAAGTTCAAAAAGAACAAAACTTTAGCTTTACTAAATCAAACCCCTACCCATTTTAAAATTTTAATTATAAATTTGCCCATCCATGAAAACCATTTCGCAATCTCACCCATGTGAAACTTCAATTGAAAGCCCCCAGAGAGTAATTGGGATTCTATAATCCGATTCGCAGAACACAAATTTGGGCGATTACATGCACACATAATACGGATTAAGCAAAATTAATACAAGGATTAAAGAAAACGAACCGGAGCGAGAGAAATCGTGGAAGAACTTTTCGGCGTAGGAATCGGCGCCGACGACGCAGAGAGAGTTGCGGCAGTTCTGGCAGACATATCTGGGGACGTTCGGATCCACCGTGAAGCTCCGACCCCTTTCGCCCATTAAATCCTTATGGGAGTGGAAGGCTCTTGGATTCGTATGAGAGGAGACAAAGTTTATTTCTCTTTGTTTCTTGGCTGAAGAGAGATCATAACAGTCGTGGTCTGGTTTGTTTGTTTCTTTGTGATTTTGATTCATTTTTATCCTTTTTTTATATACGAAAATGTTTCTTTACAAAAATTACTCATTTTTAATAAATTTTCTACTAAACATGTTATGAGATTGTATTCAATTGAGAATTTGAAGGATTTTAATTATTTTAATGAATTTATGGATATTCAATCATAATTTTAAATGATTCTTTGAAATTAAAATGTGTATTTAATCGGGATTTTAAGATAGTTAATAAATCCGAGGGTATTCAATTATGATTTCAAAGAAATTTATAACATTTTAGATGTATTTATTAGAAATTTCTTTTAAATAATATTAAAAAGTTGAGGAATTTGAGGAAAATTGAGTGATTTCGTAGTGCAATTAAACATTCACAAATCTCACATCTCCTCCTAAGTTTTCGAGGGATCGAATAAAATTTTTACATGAAATGTCTACTAATCAATTAAACTTCCTTAAAATCCATTAGAATCTCTTAAATTCTCAATTCTATTTATAAATCCATTATAAATTCCCCACAAAATTGACTTTTTTTCCTTTCATTTTCTTTTGAAAACTCGATGGTATATTACATGCAAGGTCTAAAATATCGATATTATCCTGATATTTTCATCGAAATTTCCGTGTTTTTGGACTACCGATATTTCCGATATCATCGATATTTTAGACCTTGATAGGAACTCTATGTGGTACTAAGTCATTCATATATCTTACTATGCAATGTATAAAGTGTAAAATATTGTACTAATTCATTATATATAAATGATTATGGTGTGTTTAAACTTCTTTCATTAATTACTACATATTTTCTACACTCACAATGTTTGCCAGCTCTCTATATAATCAACTAAATCAGTTAAATTTATCATGCAATACATTTCCTTTTTTTTTTGTGATAAACTAATAGATAATTGACTAAATAAACATCCTGCAAAGTTTCAATAAAAATTTCCAAGTTTTTCTTACAATTTCCGTGGTTTTTATTCAATTTTTATGGATATCGATAATATCCCGAAATTTTCATGTTTTTGGACTACCGATATTTCTGATATCATCAATATTTTATACCTTGGTTACATGATGTATTTAATTGAGATTTTGAGGAATCTTAAAAGGTATTTAATTGGAATTTTAAGATAAAGTATTAATATCCTTAGAAATCCGAGAGTATTTAATTTGGAATTTGAAAAAGTTTATAACATTACAAATGTATTCAATTCTAAATTGATTTTAAAGAATTTGAAAAAGTTGAGAAATTAGATGAAATTGGAGAGATTTCGTACTGTATCCACAAATCTCACATCTTCCCATAAGATTTTGAAGAAATTAAATTAAAAATGCATATGAAATCTCTATAAATTAATTAACTCTATAAAAATCCATTACAACCCAAGTATTAAATCAGGCTTTTATCTTTCAGTTTTCTTCTATATTTTGGGCTTATGTATTTAGGAGTTGCGAATTTTATTGCTTATGTCCTTATTATTAGTTATTCTATTCATAATACTTTTATTAATTAGAGGATTAAACTGGTAATTTCAAAGGATTTTGATTAACAGTAAGTGTGTTATTAATTAATAGAGAGTATTTTATTTTTTAAAATTATTTTTTAGAAAGTACAAAATCATCTTAGCCGAAAAGGAAATAAAGACCCGACCCGGGATGTGATCCCGGATTGGTTACTGGTAAACACGGAAACTCGCGAACCGCATAAATATCCAATCCCCAGAACAAACCACCTTTCCCTTTTCTCCTTCGACTCGATCGCCATCAATCTTTCGTCCTTCGAAACCCTAACTTCTCCCCTCAATTTTCATCAATGGCGGAATCCACCGTCACCAAATCCAGCACCTACAACTTATTCGTGAAACTTTTGGAGGGCAAAACCCTAACCCTAAAATTCACAACCCCGAAGATCCCCGCCACTTCCATCAAGCACCTCTTATACAAAATCACCAAAATACCCCTCCATCACCAGCGCCTCGTCACCGGGACTCGCCAACTCAAGGATGATTCCGTCATCTCGTGTTCCTCCTCCGACGCGCCGTACTTCCCAACGGTGCATCTTCTGCTCCGGCTCGTCGGTGGAAAGGGCGGGTTCGGGTCGCTGCTGCGTGGGGCTGCGACGAAGGCCGGGCAGAAGAAGACGAGTAATTTCGACGCGTGTCGTGATATGAGTGGTCGGAGGCTGCGGCATGTTAATGCGGAGAAGAAGCTTGAGGAGTGGAGGGCTGAGGAAGAAGAGAGGATGCTCGAAAAGATGGCGGAGGATTATTTGAAGCGTATTGCGAAGAAGGGGAAAGTGGGAACTGGAGACGATAAGGCTGAGAAGTATGTGGCCAAGTATAGGGAGCAATCGGAACGCTGTGTTTCGGAGGTTTTGGATTCGGTTAAGGAGGCTGTTAAGGGAAAGCGTAGGGGGGCGGCCAAGGAACCAGTGGCAGATTCGAAAAGGCTGAAAATTTGGTAAGGATTTGTGTTGGGTTTTAATGGGTTCTGTTTATTTATGTTTGCTATGTTGATTTTGTGCTTGGAAATTGGAAATGATGAATTCGGAGGAATGCTTTTAGGAGAATGAAATAAAGTAATGCAATGGGGAAGTGATATGGTGGTTTGAGATAAATGGTTTATTTCTTTTATGAGTTGAAATGAATATTAGAATTTGGACGTGTTAGTTATTGGTATAGAGGTTAGTATGAAAATTGAAGTCGAAAACTCACACGATATACATAATTTGGTTAACAAAGCCATGTTCTTTGCTTTTGATTTACGGGGGTCAATCGGATGATAGAGTGAAGGAAGGGAACCCATTAAGTTCATTTAGGATAGACAAGGTTTAGCCAGAAGGTTGCTTAGAGCAATGTCTGGTTTTTTATATATATTTTTTCATTTTATAATCTTGATTTCTGGCGAAACCTTGTTTCGGAAATCCTACATTTTTTTATTTCAGAAAGTTTTTGCAGAAACACTGTATCTTCCTGCCATTTCTCTTTAATATTGTTGTATAAGATGATTGTCATTGGTATTGATGTCTGATTTGTTGTTTTTGTAAGGATGGGCAAGAGGAAAATGGGCGAAAGTGATTCAGAGGATGACGACAGTGATAATGAAGATAAAAATGAGAAATCCATTGTATTAAATAATGGGAATAACTCAGATTCAAGTAAAGAAACTGAGAGAAGTTTGGATTCTGTGACTGGTAGGAAACAAGATGGTGAGATCTCAGGTGGGGGCTCAAGTGAGAGTGGCTCGGAGGAAGAGAAAGAGATGGTTGTGCAGGGAGCACAACCTTTTGGTGGAGGCCCTGGTCAAGAATCTCTTGATAACGAGAAGAATGAGATGGTTGAACCAGTGATTCCTGAAGAGAAGATGGTTAGTAGTGCAAGTGTTACTTGTTCAGAGCTTGATACGGTTTCGGGAGTTGAAGCAGATCAAGATGGAAAGATAGGTTGCAGTGGACCTGAGATGGGAAATCTGAATGAAGTAGTTGGTCAATCCCAGAAGGTTCCTAGTTCAGGGCATGGGCAAGAAATTGAAAGTGCATCAGTCATTGCTGAAGCCAATGATTCAGGAGTTCAGGAGGAAACAGTTGCGAGTGGAAACACTCTAGAGATAGAGAAGCCACTGAATTTTGATGAGTACGGTTCAGCAGCTGAAATGGAGGTATGCTTCTAAGTTTTTAATCATATTAATAATCTTTTTATTTAAATTTATGTTACTGCTAAAGCGATTTAGGGTTTTTGCGGCCTCCATTACTCTTCCAATTAAATGTTTTAGGGCGTTGGTTAAGTTCTTGAAGCTGAATTTTTCGCTTTCCCCTGTTTGTTGATTATGTATAATACAGTCCGCCTTGTGAACATGACTAGGCATGTCCACGTTGAAAGCTAAATTAATGCCCATATTAATTATTACATCCCTGCCTCGTTGCTTTTGTCTCACACCTTGCACCTTCATCTTGCCCACCATGGTCATTTTAGTTGGGGAGGGCTCTGACTTCAAATCGTTAGTAAGCAGAATCAACATGACTTTCCACCTTTCTATTGTAGGTTCTTGGCCGGGAAAGGTTAAAGTCTGAACTGCAAACTCGTGGGCTAAAGTGCGGGGGTACTCTGCAGGAGCAAGCTGCGAGGCTTTTCATGCTAAAAGCTACCCCGATCGAGAAGATTCCAAAGAAGCTCCTTGCAAAGAAATGACAACATTATGTACTTCATTTAACTTTATACTTTCTAGAAGAAGAAAAAATCTCATCAATGTATGAATATCGGGGTTTCGATGTGTATATTTCTATCTCTGCCCGTTGTCGGACTAATTTTGTACTTGTGTACCATGATGCTTTGACTGATGCAATAATATATGTGCAACTTTCGTTTTGTGAAATTCACTGTCGTCCCATAATTTAGTCTTGTTTTTCCACAAAACTACATGTTCTATTGTCGGCATCCACAAAATGTGAGCATGTACAATGAAAAACACAAAAAGGAGAGAAATTTCAGACATTGTTTGAGTCAACGTGAGCCGGAGACGTTGAGTTGACGTGAGCCGGGGACGTTGAGTTGACATGAGCCGGGGACGGGTTGTTCCGGCAAACTGGGCATGAACTGTTCAGTTTCAGCCACTCATCAATACAATCAGCATGGAAGCAGTGTTTGCATTCTGGTATGCATCTCACCGTCTCTTTGGTGAGATACTCCGACAAGCATATAGCGCAGGTGGTATCGTTGTGTCCCGGAAGGCGCTTACTCTCCCCAAGAACTAGCATCTGGTAGGATTCAATGGTTGTCTGATCCAAACCAACTGTTACAACGGCGGGGGGTTGTGGTGGCGATTCTGCATTAACCGCGGTGGACCTTCGCTGTGCAGCATTACCCCTGCCACTGATACAAGCAAAGCAGCCAATCACAACTGCGCATGCGGTGGCTGGTACCGTGATGGACAAGCAAATGATCCTGAAAACATATAAACCATAGCTTGATCCTCCTAGAATTTGAAGCCATTTGTTAGTGCTGGAAAACGAGCTCTTGACCTGTCGTTGTTTGAATCTGAAATGCAGTAGGCTAAAGAAAATGGCCCTATCTATCCACCACTTAATTTTTTTAATTTTTTTTTATATCCTAGTGATGTTTTTATATTACAAAGAATTACTATTATTAATTTTTTTCCCTTAATAATATTATCTATTCTCCTCCATTTCTTATTCTTTAAAAAAAAATAAAAAAACAGATTGGAATTTGACTTTTGGCCCCGGCCCCTGCAAGATAACGTGTTGAACCTTTTTAAATCGATAAGAAGGCGTACCGTGTGCCATATTACAAGGGCAAGATGAACTTTTCTTCGTTGCTGATTCTTTATTTAGTAGACATTTTATGCTTTTAAAAACATATTTGAAATTGCTTTTATTAATAATACTTCTAATAATAATCTAGTGTAAACAAATACTGTAATGCGTAATGAAATAACTTCTAACATTGAGAAAAGAAGTATCGCTCTAAAATAATAGATGGTCGGTCAAATTGTGTAAGTTTTAGTTTCTACTCTTCCTCTTAAGTTTTATCATGATTAACTACAAAACTACAACTTGCAAAGGTAAGTGACTTTCAACCCCATCTTACTTATCTTGAATAAATCAAAAGAGAATTGAGGAACGAAAACAAGACCAAAAACGGTGCAAAAGAAGAAAACGAGAGTATGAAACCCTTTATGAACTTTCAATGGAAAATTGCAATCATGCAAATATGTGAATTAGAAAAGGAGAAATTAGGTTCTCATCCTTACTTTTGCTACTTCATTGATTAAAACCTTATTCTTTTTCAATTTTTGATCATGGTCCTTGGTATTAATAACATCATTAGTTATTTCAATAATAAAATATTTTTTATTTCTAAATATATTCATTTAATGTTAAAAATGTTACCATTAGTATATTTTTATCATATATTTTTATTTTTAGTTTGTACCCATTTTTAATTTGTACCAATTTTCTTTTTAGTTTTAATTTGTACCCATATATTAATTTCTTTTTATGCCCATATTTTTTAAAGTTTTATTTGTATTTGTACCCATATTTTTTTATTTATTTGTACCCATTTTTATTTTTGCTAAATGTACCCATGCTAATTATATGTACCCATTCATGTAATTTTTTCAAATTTTTAATCTTAAAATGTACTCATTCTTAAATATACCAATTTGTTATATGTAAAATGTACCACTTTTTTATATATAAAATCTATTCAATTTTTTTCTAATCCATTTTTAAACATATATGGGTACATTCTTTTTTCTTTGATTTGAGAATGTATCCATGTTAAGTTTAATCGAAAAAATTTACTAATATTATTAAGCCTAATATCTCTTTCTTTCTTTTTTTGTGATTTTGAAGAATGTACTCATGTTTTGATACAATAATTTTTAGTTAATTTTGATGAATGTACCCATGTTTATATACACACACACAATAGTATATTTATATTTTAATATTTTTAATCCCACAAATTATGGTTTTTTTATTTAAAATCTCATTAATATAAACAAATATAAATATAAATTTTTAATTTAAAAAATATTGTAACGTACATAGAAATAAATTATCATATTAATTTCAGGAACTTTGATAAAAAATTGAAAACCAATAAGGTTTTAGTCGAAAAATATTCATAGTTAGGGACCGCAACCAAATCTCCCATTAGAAAATTACCTGCTGTTGAATTGAAGGTGCAACCGAGTTCTTGGGTGGTGTTGCTGATAAATCCACAAATGCCACCTTCCACCTCACAACTACTGCAAGAAGGCTCATACCAAGTCAAACTAAGATCCCAGTCAAGGTTGGTTGAGAATCCGTCCTCCGTCTGAACCTGCCCGCAAACCGGAACCTCCAATGTGTCAACAATCTGGCACGTGGCGGACATCGAATTCGCCAGGGTGGCGGAAGGGGTGGCCAGAACCGAGGTGGTGGAGTTGCTGAGGCAGTCAATGGGAGTGAACCTCGACTTGGTGAACGAAGCCGGGCAGCTGAGGAAGGTGTAGTTCTGGTACGTGGGAGTAACAAAAGGAGAGCCCGAGAGATTGAGGGTTAGAAGCCTTCGAGGGAGGCATTTTTCGGGGTCGAAAAGTTGGATTTCTTGTGTGGCATAGCTGATTCGTCTGACGAAAAAGTCGCCGGAGTTTGGAAGTTTTAGAGTTGTTTGACCGTGGCTGTTGCAGGCCAGGTTGAAGCCCGGGAAACCGCAGTTTTTGGGTTGTTTGGGTACTAACCGGAAAGGGAATCGGATTGGGAAGCTGTCGTCACCGCCACAATCGGAAGCCGGGCAATCATTGAGTGCAGAGATGTGGGTGAAGAGGAGGAAGAGAAGGGGAAAGAGGAGGTGTGAGATGTCCATGTTATCTCAGAAGGACTAAAACATGAATGACAAAGCTTCGTTAACAACCCGAAAGTCGAAGTTCGACTTGAGTTTAAATATTTCTCCTCGTAATTTAGATAAATTTTATATAAAATTGGTTATATTTATATAAAAATCCAAAAGTCAAAAGCTTATAAAGTAATTATCACTAAGTGCTCATTGCTTATCACAATCATTTCTTAGTAAGCTTTTACAAATTAAAATATGTTTTTGTAATCATATTTTATAATTTCAAATTCTAGGTCAGAGATGAATCCTTTGGTCATCCATTAAGCATAAGAATGATCATTAGAGATTAATTAATGTTTAAGTAATTAATTTCAAAGATTTCATCTGAGCCGTTCATTGATTTCATTCACAAGTATGTGTGTGAGTGTGAGCATGTAAACATGTATATGTAGCAGCACATCATGTGCCCATTTGTTCTACAAGAACGACCAAATCTATCTCTAACAGGAAATTAAGCTATTAACTGAAATATTTTCTTAGTATCTGATTATTTGAAAGGCGTTTTAAGTTCCCTTTCGGAGACTAGCAACTGGCAATAACCTGTGGAGTTCCGGGAATCTGTTTCGTGTAGCTTGGCAAGCAAGTTTTGAGGCGTGGGACTTTACAGGAGCTGCTGTGAGATTCTGATGGATGCTACTTCTCCTTGAAGTCCAGCTCTCATGACATGGCATTTCACTTGAAGTCCTGGTATATAGAATATCGATGAAATATCGAAGTTAGAAATGGATTTTGTCACTTAGATTCTCGATTAAGCTGAGTTCGGTTATGTTTATGGAAAATCGACTAACTAGTACCTTCGTTCTTCTGCAAATTTGTGTTGACTGCAACTGCATGTAGAGTAATGACAGCCTTTGGTTGCCAGTCTGTTGGTTTGCCCACCCATGGCTTGAGATTAAACACTGCTGCTGTTTAATTTGACATTAAACCAGATCAATTTATACGATCAACAAACGCTAGTGGTTGAAATTATGGTTAAAATGTGTGTTTGGGAAAAATGCCATGCGGGAATTTGTTGCTACATGTAACAAGAAGTTGCTGAAACAGCAAATACCAGTGTCACATATACTAAACCAATCCGTGGTATGGCCAAGTGACTAATGAGTATCTGAAGTTACATATACAGGGAAAAGAGTATCTGAAGTTACTGTTAGGAATGTCGGTACTACAAGATAGAGAATGCACAAGGTAAAGTAGAAAATGGACGCCAAGAATTTATGTGGTTCGGCAATTTATGCCTACGTCCACCAAACAAGGAATCTTCACTATATGAAAAAAGATGAATACAACAAGAGTAGTCTTACCAAGCCAAAGACAAGGCTTGATGGATACAAGAAAGTATAACACACACTTTCTATCACTCTAAACTTCACTCACACAATGTGTAGTGGAACACTCTCACTCTCACTCTTGGAGTGGAACTCTAGCTTTGGACTTGATCCTTTGCTACTCACTCTTAGTTCTCTATTGGTTACATCACACCCATATTTATAGGTGAGGGCTTGGCATTCTACTAGTTTCTAGTTCCTTCTTCAAACCTCTAGTATAGAAAAATCTAGACTAGCCACATACTTGTAGCTTCTAGATCTTTCCATTTGCAACCAAGGAAGCTAGTACTCTCTAGCTTCTTCCATCAACTTAATAACATGCTAGAATTGTCTAGCAAGCTCCAGCCTCATCTCTTGCTTACTAGAATAATCTAGAACATTGATCATGGGCTGGACCATATACCAACAATCTCCCCCTCCAGTCCATGAGGGAGGAATTCCGATCATGACTCCAAGTTACCTGGAGTTTCATCCCAGCAGCTTTAATGCAGAATTCCAACTTTGATTTTGTGACTACCTTTGTCAACATGTCTGAAGAATTATTATCGGTATGAATCTTCTTCAGCTGCAGCAACTTGTTCTCGATAGCGTCTCTAATCCAGTGATAACGAATATCAATGTGCTTAGTGCGTGAATGATATGTAGTGTTCTTGCTCAAGTCCAGAGCACTCTGACTATCACAATAAATGCCATAATCACTTTGCTTCAAACCCAACTCTTGGAGAAACTGCTTCAGCCACAACAACTCCTTGCATGCTTCTGTAGCGGCTATGTATTCAGCCTCGGTTGTGGACAAAGCAACACACTTTTGCAACTTGGATTGCCAAGACACGGCTCCCCCGGCAAAAGTGAACAAGTACCCAGATGTAGATTTTCTACCATCCAGGTCACCTCCCATGTCAGCATCTGTAAATCCTTCCAAGATTGGTTTGGAACCGCCAAAGCACAAGCACATCTTAGAAGTCCCCTTCAAATATCTGAGAATCCACTTAACGGCTTCCCAGTGGTCCTTCCCTGGATTAGAGAGAAACCTGCTCACCACACCTACTGCATGAGCAATATCTGGTCGTGTGCACACCATTGCATACATGATACTTCCTACTGCTGAAGAGTAGGGAACAACTGCCATTTTCTCCTTTTCTTCATATGTTTTTTGGACACGACTCTTTGCTCAACTTGATATGATTGGCTAAAGGTGAGCTTACCGGTTTGGCTGCTTTCATGTTGAACCTTTCAAGCACCCGTTCAACATACTTTTCTTGTGACAGCCACAACTTCTTGGATTTTTCTGTCACGAATTATCTCCATGCCCAAAATCTGCTTGGCTGGCCCTAAGTCCTTCATGTCAAAGGACTTAGATAACTCTTCTTTGAGCTTTTTAATCATAGAAGCATCTTGTCCGACAATCAACATGTCATCAACATAAAGCAATAAGATGATGAATGTACCTCCAGAAAATTGTTTGATATAGACACAAGAGTCAGCATGAGTTCTCTTGTACCCATTACTCACCGTGAATGAGTTGAACTTCTTATTCCACTGTCTCGGAGCCTGCTTAAGACCATATAAACTTTTCTTGAGCTTGCACACCAAAATTTTCTTTACCTTTGACTTCAAAGCCTTTGGGTTGCTCCATGTATATCTCCTCTTCTAAATTGCCGTGGAGAAATGCAGTTTTAACATCTAACTGCTCGAGCTCAAGATCCATGCTTGCTGCCATACCAAGGATAACTCGAATGGAAGTCATCTTCACCACCGGTGAGAAAATCTCATCAAAGTCAACTCCTTTCTTTTGACCAAAACCTTTGACAACCAAACGAGCCTTGTACCTTGTCATGTTGTCGTCTCTTTTCAATTTGAACACACCCACCTGTTTTTCAATGCTTTCCTGCCCTTTGGAAGCTCCACCAGCTCATAGGTATCATTCTTTGATAAGGAATCCATCTCCGACTCCATTGCCTTCATCCATTTGTCACTGTCGTTATGAGCTCTGGCCTCCTCATATGTTTCGGGCTCTCCATAATTAGTCAACATGATATACTCTGATGAAGAATACTTGGTAGACGGTCTTCGACTTCTGATGGATCTTCTGACCTGATCTTCATTCTCTTGTAGGGCTGGAGGCTCCCCCTGATTGGGTTCTCCTTGAATATGCTCTTCTTGACTAGGCTCCCCCTGATCAGCAATCTCATGGTTTGGCACATCTTGATCAGGCTCCTCTTGATTAGCATTATCTGATTCTGCAGGCACTTCATTGGCAGTTGCTTCAGGGATGTCATCGTGACTTTCTTCATCTGAAGCTAATGGATCAACTCCTCTGACTGCGCCATCTGGTTGTGCCTCTTTATCCGAATCCCCAATTGTTTGTTCTTCATAAAAGACCACGTCTCTACTTCGGATAAACTTCTTCTGGTATGGGTCCCATAATCTGTAACCAAAATCTTCACCGCCATAACCAAGAAAAGATGCACGGTGTAGCTTTGTAGTCTAACTTCGATCTCTGCTCTTTGGGCACATGCACACAAAAGCTTTGCAACCAAACACCTTCAGATGAGAGTAAGACACATCATTACCAGTCCATACTCTCTCTGGAACATCAAGACCTAATGGTACTGATGGAGATCGGTTGATCAAATAGCAGGCTGTCCTTACAGCTTCACCCCAGAACTGCTTAGATAACTTTGCAGTCCTCAACATACACCTGACTTTCTCCATGATGGTTCGGTTCATTCTTTCAGCAACACCGTTATGTTGTGGAGTTCCAGGAACTGTCTTCTCATGACGTATGCCATGTTTTACACAATACTCTCTAAACTGGTGAGATGTGTACTCGCCGCCGTTGTCGCTACGAAGGCACTTGAGAGGTTTCCCAGTTTCCCTCTCCACCATGGCATGGAACTCCTGGAATGTCTGAAACACCTGGTCTTTGGATTTCAACAAATACACCCACACCCTTCGTGAAGCATCATCAATATAAGTAACAAAATATTTATTTCTTCCAAGTGACTCGACTTCCATGGGACCACACACATCTGAATAAACAAGATCTAACAAGTTTCCTTTCTTTGTAGATGGAACAGAAAAACTAACTCTTCTTTGTTTTCCGAATAAACAATGCTCACAAGAGTTTAACGACGTACCTTCGGTAAAGGGAATGTGAGACTTATTTGCCAAAACTTGTAGGCCTTTCTCGCTTATGTGGCCTAGCCTCTTATGCCATAAGTCTAGAGATGAGTCCTCCACAGCATTCAACTCACCTTTCAAAACCTTGGCATTTGACCGGTACAACGTACAACAAAGTCGTGCTCTTGCTACCACCATTAAGCCTTTAGTAAGCTTCAATTTTCCTTCGCCAATATGGTGATAATATCCTTGTCGATCAAGGGTACCGATGGATATCAGATTGAGACGTATATCAGGAATATGTCTCACATCTTTCAACATCAATTGGCAGCCGAGATTAGTTCTTAGACATATATCACCAATTCCAAGAATTTTTGGAATAGCTTTCATTCCCCATCTTCACTATGCCAAAGTCACCTTCTTTGTATGTACTGAAGAACTCCCGTTTGGACGTAGCATGGAAGGAAGCTCCATTGTCAAAGATCCATTCAATGTCTCTGTCAGAGTTGCCCATATGCAGACATTCACCAACAGACAATATTTCTGGTACATCACCACATATGACAGCAGTGGTATTGCCAGTATCATCTTTCTTCTGATTGTTTCCTTCCCTTTGCTCTCTCTTCCAAACTCGACAATTTTTCTTCATATGGCCTTCTTTGCCACAGTGGTGGCATGCACCCCTGAACTTTGACTTGGATCGGCTAGGACTCCTGCCATGACCTCTAGGCCCTCTACTTTTGCTTCTTCCGCGGTTCTCTGTGACAAATACTTGGCTGCTATCTGTGCCAGAAGTCTTTCTCCTTGTTTTTCTTCATTGAGCATGCTATTTTTAACATTATCAAGAGTAAGAACACCATTAGAAGCAGAGTTACTTATACTCACCACAAAGGTCTCCCAACTGTCTGGCAAGGATCCAAGTAACAAGAGCGCTTGTAGCTCGTCCTCGATCGTCATTTTCATAGTAGCCAACTGGTTGATGATATTCTGGAAATTGTTCAAGTGTTCTGCTACACTTAAACCATCCTTGTACTTCACATTGATGAGCTCTTTGATCAAGAAGGCTTTCTTGGCTGGGGTCTTCTTCTCGAACAAGGACTCAAGCTTCGTCCAAAACTCGCGAACATTGGTTTCATTAGACACATGGTGAAAAACACTATCATCCACCCATTGTCTAATTGTGCCAATAGCCTTGCGATTCATCTTCCACTCGGCATCGGACATGCTCTCGGGCTTAGCGGCATCTCCTTCAATTGGCTCATGCAAATCCTTGCAATAGAGAATGTCCTCCATCCTTGGCTTCCATGTTACCCCCAATTGGAGTTGGTGAGTTTGATCATAGTGCCACTTCCTTCCATCTCGTAGTACGAGCCAACCGGGCTCTGATACCACTTGTTAGGAATGTCGGTACTACAAGATAGAGAATGCACAAGGTAAAGTAGAAAATGGACGCCAAGAATTTATGTGGTTCGGCAATTTATGCCTACGTCCACCAAACAAGGAATCTTCACTATATGAAAAAAGATGAATACAACAAGAGTAGTCTTACCAAGCCAAAGACAAGGCTTGATGGATACAAGAAAGTATAACACACACTTTCTATCACTCTAAACTTCACTCACACAATGTGTAGTGGAACACTCTCACTCTCACTCTTGGAGTGGAACTCTAGCTTTGGACTTGATCCTTTGCTACTCACTCTTAGTTCTCTATTGGTTACATCACACCCATATTTATAGGTGAGGGCTTGGCATTCTACTAGTTTCTAGTTCCTTCTTCAAACCTCTAGTATAGAAAAATCTAGACTAGCCACATACTTGTAGCTTCTAGATCTTTCCATTTGCAACCAAGGAAGCTAGTACTCTCTAGCTTCTTCCATCAACTTAATAACATGCTAGAATTGTCTAGCAAGCTCCAGCCTCATCTCTTGCTTACTAGAATAATCTAGAACATTGATCATAGGCTGGACCATATACCAACAGTTACCAGTGTCACATATACAGGGAAAAGAGTATCTGAAGTTACCAGATGTTGAAGAGTCCTTGAGGTGTTTCATATCAAAAATTGCCCCACAAGCACCATTGGCATGCTCGTTGACATGGTGACCGATGAGCTTGTAATCCCAACTTCCATTCTTGTACCCCTCGCTCAAGAACAGTTCTATATGCCTTGCATCCAATGTCTGCATCGTTCCTGCATATATATGCAAACATGCACAATTACGCTATTAACAAATATAACAAGGAAACGTAAACAGATTGCGAAAATAAGTGTCGTTTTTGAAGAGTAAGATAATGTGACTGTGGATTTATCACATTACTCTGCACTCTGCAGCATTTTGGCAAACATGCCTTCTGCTTCTCTCCAGAACTAGAAAGAAAGCAAGATTAAAGTTTCTAATCAAAATTTAAAAAATACATTTTAACACATTAATCTAGATTTACAAAGGCATTTTAACAAACGGCAAGTGATCACATCCATCAAGCACACATATTGAGCAGTGATGGGTTATTCTGCCTTACCATCACAAGTATTGAGCTCGCAGACGGGGCATCGAGCAAGTTGGAGATCTGTGGAACACCATTACAGTTGAAAACACAAGTTAACTAAATTGAAGTGAAAAAATTTAAACTTTAGCACTATTTAATCTTCATTCTTTTCCCTAAAATAATTACCAGGATGATTGAGTGCAGCTCAAGTAATTACCAGCAATCCATATCCCAGTTTTAACTTTATCCAACACACAACAGCCGCAGGACTCCAACATTTTCTGTATGCTCTATCCTTCTGGGAGCCTTGATGGTTTGATCAGCTTTTCTGTTAGGAATGCTTCTGAAGGTTCAACGGAAAATGCACCGATCCGCGTCCAGTCTGAGATGCATCCAAAATTCAATGAAAAACCCATTAGTACGATAGCCAAATGTTTCACTGTACTCTGAATTATGCAATTAGACACGTGCGAGCAAGTAAACCAGCTGAATTAAACAGATGCAAAATTGGCAGGGCTAGTGACTGGAGTAAAGTCGTAATAAGGTAGCCGTACTGGAAGGTGTGTGGCTGGATCACCTCTTTTTCAGAGGAGCTAATGCTTGTTAGGTATTTTGATTTGACACTACTTCACATCCAAAAAGAAGGAGTTACGTCTGAGTTAAACTTGGAGATGGAAGTTTTCTTTCGTTTATCGATTGTGAAGTAAGAATAAGCTCATGAGGTCAAAATAAGTTGATAGGATCCCCTTTTTTACATCCCCATGCCCTTCCTGTGTGGCGAGGTTTCAGAAGACACTAACTTTTTCCAAAGTAAAAAATAATAAAATGTATACATATAAAAAGTTTTGTTAATCACTGGGTGACCAAGAGAATGAGACTTTATAAGTTGCCTATGTAAATTTCTTACACATAAAATGTAAAATGATTGATATAAATTTCCTTTAAATCTTCCAAACATTAAAAACAGAACCATATAAACTTCATGAGCATAATTACATGAAAGCAGTTGAAAATTCTCACCACAAAAACAATCCAAAGGGGGGGGGGGGGAATTGGGCACTCACCGATATGCTTCTTCCGATGGCGGAACATGTAAGAGTGACTCCCATCTGCAAAACCGCAAAGCCCACTTAATCAGACAATTACGATAATAATACGTCTTAAAACTAATCTAATTCATACATTATTATGCTAATTGACATCTGGAGGCTCTCAGATTCTTACCAAAGTTAAGCATGTTTAAACTAGCGTTCCGTGATAACGTGGACAAAAGTTAAGCATGTTTAAACTATCAAGACATCAATGAAGATTTGAATCTCCTAATTCATGTCATTTAGCTAACGAATTTATGATTTAAATTGTCTAAAATTGGTCAATTTGAAGGAATAGAACTCTAAAGACGTCGGTTAGTGAAAGTCAATTTTAGTATTTGTCCATCTCATCATTGCCAATAGAAATGGCCTCCTTGAACCAAACTAGTTCATTGCCAATAGAAAAGGCAAACTAAGCTATTCTATGGGCTATACCATTAACAAAAAACACTTTCATTATTGATTCTTTATTTTACACAGTTCTTTTCTTTTGGTGTGAAGGAGGGCCAAAAGCTCAACACATTTCTCAAATAAAATCTGAGCCATTGAAGGGAATTTACATTTTTATTCTAAACTGGTATGGTTACAATATGAATTGCAGTAAAGAAACCGAAAATTACAAGTGCAGGTGAAAAAAAAAAGTTATTCTTAGAGCAACTCCATCCCAAGCAAATTGCCGAATTAATTGTTAGGAGATGGGTTCAAGCTCTGCAGACATGAATTGGGAGCAAAGAATTGTATGAACTGTGATTTAATTCATAAATTTTCTACAATTGGGTGCTTTAAATTTCCCTTTCATTTAGTTTAGATTGACCTGTATTCAGTTCAAAAAGGGTAACGTTTCCCGCATACAGTTAAAAAAGACGATTATAGGAGAAACGTTAGTTTGCTGAACTGAATATAGGTCAATCTAAACTAAATGAAAGGAAAATTTAAAGCAAATAAGAGAGTGGAGGATTTTATGTTAGTTCTTCACAGGGGGTCACACTAGTCTGAGTTAGGTATATTGAATGAATAAAATCCAATGGGAAAACAAATTCAGTTTAGATTGATTTGTATTTAGTTCAGAAAAGTAACGTTTCCTGCATAATCGTCTTTTTAACAAGAACTTTCTACGGTTAAAAAAACGATTATGCAAGAAACGTTATTTTTTTTGAACTGAATATAGGTCAATCTAAACTAAATGAAAAGAAAATTTAAAGCAAAGTAAGAGAGTGGAGGATTTTACGTTAGGTCTTCACTAGCGATCACACTAGTCTAAGTTAGGTATATTTAATGAATAAAATCCAACGGCAAAACACATTCCATAAATTGGTATACAAAAAATAAAAAAAATGAATCTGGGCCAAATAAAAGCAAAGCACACGAAAACATTAATACATACAATGTATTTCAAAATCAAACAAAATAACATACACAATGTATATTTTTCACTTAAACAATAATGATCATAAGAAAATAATTCAACAAACAACTGAACGCATTGAGCCAAAAGAAAACAAATTTACAAGCCCATTATACAAAATTAAGGTGAACAAAAAGACTGTCACATCCTGGTTCGGGTCCCCATCACATTCCAGGCTTGATTTCGTCATAACACGATATTGTCCGTTTTGGGCCCCGACCACGCCCTCACGGTTTTGTTTCTGGGAACTCACATGAGAACTTCCCGGTGGGTCACCCATCATGGCATAGCTCTCGCGCGAACTCGCTTAACTTCGGAGTTCCGATGGAATCCGAAGCCAGTGAGTTCCCAAAAGGCCTCCCGCTAGGTAGAGATGAGAATATATACATATAAGGTTTACATGATCCACTTCCCTGGGCGATGTGGGATGTTACAATCCATCCCCCTTAGGGGCCCGATGTCATCGTCAACACACTTCCGGCCAGGGTTGGCTTTGATACCAAATTGTTACATCCGGCTCGGGCCCCCACCACATCCCGGGTTCGACTCCGTTATAGCACGATATTGTCCGCTTTGGGCCCCGACCACGCCCTCACAATTTTGTTTCTAGGAACTCACATGAGAACTTCCCAGTGGATCACCCATCATGGGATTGCTCTCGCGCGAACTCGCTTAACTTCGGAGTTTCGATGGAACCCGAAACCAGTGAGTTCCCAAAATGCCTCACGCTAGGTAAATATGAGAATCTACATATAAGGCTTACAAGATCCACTCCTCTGGGCGATGTGGGATGTTACAAAGACTCTCAAACTCTTACAAGTGAAGGAAAATATGTATAAAAATCTTGTATTGATTTATTTTAGATAACAACATGCTACATAATACAGATGATGCTTCATCCAGTGGTGAAAAACAATAAAACCTATGCACCCTGGTGTGGGTTCATTTCTCATCGTTCTCCCTCCCCTACCACTTAACAATTTAGCGCACTGACGTATTGTTTGCCAAAAAAAAAAATGCTACATAATTAATGACGACAATGGAATCAATTAAAATTTAAGCATGAGTAATCCTAAGGTTTAATGATTGATGTGCATCTATAAATAAATCAACTTTAGATTTAAGACCATCTCCAACCGAATGGTCCAGAGAATCAGAGGGCGAAAATAGCTCGAAATCGTCTCCAACTAAGGACTAGGCCAAATGGCTAGTGGGCCTCACTAGACAAAAAAGGGCCAACCGGTTGGCCCAACTTAGCCAGCAAGCCCCGGGCTGGCTGGAATTTTCATGATTCATGTCGGTTATATCTGATAGCATATTCCTATCAGTTATAGCCGACATGAATGGTAGGCCCTTTTTTTTTTTACAAAATTTTTAAGTTCTATTTTTTCCCTATAACTTCCTATACAACATTAAATTAAATTATGTAACATGAAATAACATTAAATTTAAATAATAAATTATGTTTGGCCTTATGGCCATTTGGCCCTCAGTTGAAGACGATTTTTTGTGACAGGGAGTCCTATGGCTCTTTGGCTCTCGGTTGGAGATGGAGGCAAATATGGCACTGTATTATTCATTAAAATATTAATATCTTGGAAGGTTAGAAGGCTAAAATGAGCCATCTGGCCCTCATTCGGTTGGAGATGGCCTAAGAGGAATTGAGATAGACAAAATTGCTTTTATAATCACGTGTGTGAATTTCCCACAAAATCCTTCCCATATGTGATCATATAGTATTGGTGGCCTATTTGGCAGTCTTTTGATTTAAGTTACCATAGAACTTAAACCACAAGCTTAATATGTTCGAGCCAATGTGCCGAAAGTTCGAAATTATTTTCTAGTGTATGTAGTATAACAATACAGAAATCCAACCTAATCAATTTTACATGGTAGTTAATATTATTTTTAACATTCATGACAAAGTTTACCAATGTTGAACAAAAATTGTATACAATATGTAAACAAATAATTCACTCAACACAATTTCACCCTCGTTCATTTTTTCAAAGAGGGTTTTATTAATTCGAGTTCGACCTATTCTAGGCTACGCGCCTATTAATTACAACCATTCCTTTGGGAAAGGAATACCCTTTGATTCTAATATGAATAAATCGTAACTTGGGGATTTGGGTGTTTATTTGATTTTGTGACTGCGTCTAGATAGAGCCCTAGATTACCTACATACCCTCGTTGAGGGATCAAGTCACTCGTAGTTCCTTATGTGTTTTGTTGGGGTTTGATGCCTTGTGCAGTTTCAACTCGTGCAGGCAAGGAGCAATTGATGCTTTATGCAGTTTTAGCTCATGCAAACGAGGACTTTAAGCCGTTGGAGCGTTTAATGCCTTGTGTAGTTTTAGCTCATGCAGACAAGGACTTTAAGCCATTGGAGAGGTTGATGACTTTAAGCCGTTGGAGCGGTTGATGCCTTGTGTAGTTTTAGCTTGTGTGAGCGATGACTTTGAGCCATTGGAGCATTAATGCCTTATGCAGTTTTAGCTCATGTGGGCGAGGACTTTAAGCCATTGGAGCAATTGGTGCCTTATGCAATTTTAGCTCGTGCAGGCAAGGTCTTTGAGCCATTGGAGCCTTTAATGCCTTGATATGGCTTCGTGCCATTTGAATTTTGATACAGCTTCACGCCAATTGATATTTGGCATGGCTTCGTGCCCATTTGAATTTTTGACACAACTTTGCGCTACCGTAAATTTGATATGGCCTGGTGCCATTTGAAATTTGATACGGCTTTGTGCCTTTCAATACTTGATATGGCTTCGAGCCATTTGAGATTTTGTCGCGGCTTCGTGCCATTTGTGTCTTGTAAATTTTAATGGGAATATTTGTGATGAACCCACTTTTACTTTGGTATTTGATTTTGTCTTCCTTTTCATTTATTTTGTCTTGGAACCCATTTTATTTTGCCTACAAGCCCATCACTCTATTGTTGCCTTTTATCAACACAAATCCTTTCAAACACGTGGCCTTCAAACTTTAGTCATAATTATGACTAGTCATTCTTTTACCTGCTGCAGAACAACTCTCCAAATTAAATGGGAAAGACCACTTGAAGATCAATGGAGCTATGAGATTTTATGTGGTCACAAAGGACAATTTCTTTATGGTGATTTAACTTATGCTGCTTCCAATTGGATCTCATCCTCCTCAAACCACCAAGGGGATATATGGCAAGGACAACAAATCAAAGTAGAAAAAAAGGGAGACACACGGCAAGGACAAAAGCAAGTCAAAGCCAAAAATAGAGAAAGAAGAAAAGCAAGGGACTTAAGCCTGAAAAGGCATTGGTAAAAGAAAAAGGAGCCCTGACACTTGCTTTTATATTTTCCATATGAAAGCAAGGATTTTTTTGTGATACAATGCAAATGATTATGCTGCAAGTTTTGTTGACTTGATCTAATTTAATGGGTGCTCAAGTCTACAAAGTCCATCTTGGTAAAAATGGTGGGCCCACGGACTTCAGCTTGCATTAGCTTTTTGAAAAGCTTCCCTCATATTTTAATCCCAAGTAAATTAGGACTATATTTGTATGATTTTTCCACACGGTTTAAAGTATTTTCCTTCTTTTTGGTTGATTCTTTGAGAGCGTAGCAGCAACAATATTTCCTTCCTTTGTAGTGCTTTAACCAATAAAGTTTGAGAAGGATTAGAATCCCATGGCTTTTCCCTTTTGATTTTCACGAGAGTGCTTTTTCAAAGGAAGTTGACAACAAGCTTATTCTCTCCTTTTTTGTGAATTTGAATTCTTCTAAGTCCAGTAGGACTTCACAAGGGATAAAGCCACCCTTTCTTTTTATTTTTCTTCTTCCTGCCGCAACTTTTCTTTGGTGGGGTTCAAATCCTATATCAATTCTTCTTTGGCAAATTTTTGTTCTGTAGCAAACTTGTCCCTCTTTCTAGAGAAACACCTGCATGGCCTCCCAAATTGTTTTGCTTTTCATCACGTGAAAGGATCAGGGGGCCTCGACTTCCCCCAAGCACACTTGCCCATATTTTTGTCTTGTTTCTTTGTAGAGCCAATAGCCTCATTATTTTAAGTGTACTTTTGCTGGGACTTTTCTAATTGTAGGAAAACATCTTTTTCTTCTTGACTTCACCATTGAAGCTTGCTGACATCCATGTGATGAACATTACGTTTTCTTTTCCCTTTCTATTTTTTTTTCTGATACAAAAGACTTTGGGTGGAACTATTGAACAATATGTTCTCTTCTTTTCCCTTTTGTCTTGTAGTATCTGTCAATTTTACTCACTTTTTCTCTGCAAACCTTCTTGTCCATTTTTTTCTTATCTTTCGAATTCTCGACATAGAAAACTTTGGGTGGAACTCTTGAACAATACGTTCTCTTCTTTTCCCTTTTGTCTTGTAGTATCTGTCAATTTTACTCACTTTTCCTTTGCAAACCTTTCTTGAATCTGAGCAGCCCCTTTTTTTATTTTTTTTTCTTTTGAACTTTTGATCCCACTTAATATGGGACTTTTAAAACCATTTGTCCCAAGCTTATCTCCACCTTTGTCAGCAAGCCTTTTTTCCTTCCCCTTTTTGAAGACTTTGATCTTTCCTAGTCTTGAATAGTACTGCACGATCGTCGGGTATAGGTGTAGGAACTTCACAGAAAGCTTTTGAGCTTCTGCAATCTGTTTTAAAGAGCAACTTTAGAGCTGTTTGCTGCAATGCAATGATCACTTAGACTTGGTTGGAACTTCACGAGGTGGTTTAGACCCACCCGAAGAAATTCATGGGGAGGTTAACATTGGTGGTAGTGATTGCTACAATAGCAGTGCTCTCAAATTGGGAAACGACTCCAGGAACGGTGTAGGAGGATGTGAACGAGGAAAGGGGAGAGCTCCATAGTGGAGGATCCGAGAGAGAAGTGGTGTGATCTTGGAAATTCAAGGTGGAAGGAGGAAGGTTTATCCTTTTGATGGGCTGCGATGGTGGAACTTTCACCTTTTTCTTTGCTTTGGTGAAAATAAGAAGAGCCAAGTCTTCTTTCTTTTGTTTTGAAAAAAAAAAACTGAACCAACACTAAGACAAAGAACAAATTATAAACGATAAATTTATAACTTGAACTTTTGCTCCCTTTGCCGTGTCTTCCTTGCTTTCCTTTTTTTCCTTTGTTCTTCTCCATGTGCTTCAACTTCTGCAGCATTTTATTGTCACTCCCCTTTGTTGCTATCTTTTCTCTCAATTTCTCTCACAATTTCTGCAGAGTCTTTCCTCTCTTTTTTTTGTTCCCTCTTCTTACTGCAACTGATGCCTATTTATAGACATTTTAGGAGGGTTCTACAGCTCTTACGTGGGGTAGATAGAGGCCTTTTTCGCCACTTTCTCTTAACCCCCCTTATTGACTCCATGTTTCTTTTTGTTGCAGAAAATGGAGGAGCACCTGTTTTTGCACGTTTCTTCCCCCCTTTTGTAGGAAGAAATGCATATTTTATTTATATTTATTTATTTATGGATGTTGATTTGTATGTAAAGCCCATCCTTATCTTTTGAGCTGGATTACATCTTTTGTTTTATCTTGTAGTTTGACCTAATTTGTATGGACTCTATTTTTTATATGTTATATATTTTTGTTGTTCAACAACCAAGAAAAACGCTTTATACCATATTTAATGGTAAATTTTCCTCCTTTAAATATTATCACATATTAATACTACGGTCTAGTAGTATTCTCTTCATTTGCTAGTATTCTCTTCATTTGCAAGTGAGATGTCGAAAATGACGAGTTCGCAACTAATTTATTCCCTACTCCTTAATGTAGACGTATTTCATTGTGTAAAGAAAATCTCAGGACCGGTAGTGACTTTTCTGTCTTTAAGAACCTTGAACATATTTTACTTTTGGTACTAGGCCTTTGAAAACCAAGGTTTGCAAGAGTTGATGGGCCTTATTCTTCGCATTAACTGGGCTGGGCTTCAGGGTCAGACCTAGGTAAGAGAATAGACCCAACGACATCGTCCCAAAAACGTGCCGCCCTATATAACAATAACAGTATCTGCCGCTCCCTTCGCAGCTACCAGCTCGTGCCTCGTAGTGTTACTCTGCTCACTGCGGCGGGGGTGGTTGAGCATCACCCTCAAGCTCTTCGCCATTGCCCAGGTATTTAGTCTCCCCCTTAACCTTCTGTTTGGATGCCGAGAAAATTACAGAAAAGAAGCAAAATTGTCAAAATTGAGATGGATATGATGGTGAAATAGTAAAAGGTTTGAGCAGGGATTTTGTGACGGCAGAAAATGCTGGGAAAAAAAATCTGAAGAGGGTCCCAAGTCCTTGCTAAAGATTTTGCACTGTGACTTTTGTAACCTCTTGGAAATTAAAATTAAAAACTAGGGTTTGATCTGGTATCAGCCTCAGTGGATGGGTCGCATGAAAAGGCGTGGGGTTACGTTTGAATATTGAATGCCAGCCTAGACTGCTCCCAACATTTTAATAGTTGCTAGTACGCTAGTTGCTATCTGCCGTCACGAAGTTCCTGCATTGATCAAAGATCTTTCTGCTGATCCATCTCTGTGAATGTGATATGATTGCGCCGGATTGCTGTTGTTTGTTTTGGTCTAGATTTGGAGTTTTGATTATTTGTTGTGGTTGAAATGTTGGGAACAAAGTTTGGGATTTATGAGTTATGGAAAATGCTTTAAAACCCAGTTTTTATCATTGAAATTTGACGATATGGGGTGGAGCCAGCGTATCTTTATTTGATTGTATGAGATTTCACTTGTTGTTTGTATGATTGAATCTCTAGGTTGTGTTTTCTTGTTTTCAGATTGCAGGTAACTCTAGTATTTCCAATGGTAGTGTTGATATTGTGCAATTAAAACAAATCTTTGGTGTGTATAATCCTTTTATAAGTGAATGGTGCATGGTTTTTATGTGATGGGTTGCTAAGTTTCTGCGGTTTTGGTCGTTTGGTAGTGGCATTCGGTGTTAATAGTGTTTTAAATACTAAGTATATTGTTTATGGATGCCGGCATTTCCTTTCTATGAGAGGTTTTATGATGTTTGGCATTAATTTTTGCCTTGAGTTTAGTTAGCTTGTTCCCATCTTGGTTAGCTGTTCTGTTATTCATATGCGTGGCTGCGTGTTCTCTACTGATAGCAAGAGTCCATGTAATCCCTCTGCAGTTAATTTCCCCGTCTTCCATTTTGATTGTTGAAGAGAGTCTCTGACACGCCCCGATTCCGATATCCTCGGGACATCGGGATGGTCATGTGCTGGCCGACACCCGAGGGTGACGAAAGCCATTTATTGAGTGCAATTGCTGAAAATAAAGGATAGATAAAACTTATAAATGTAAAATAATAAGGAATATGCATTTAAGGAACGTGTTCAGAGCATACGACTAACTAGAATACTAAAAGAAATAATATAAAATTGAATGAATAAAATAATGGGTCCCACACCAAGAGGACTCGAAGATGCTGATGCGGAAGTGCCTTGATGCCGGAATTGTATGCCTCGATTCTAAGTCCTGAAGGGGGCGCAAAACAAACATGAGTAGACCAAGTTGATATATATATATATATATATATATATATAATAAAACAGTTATTAACGTACTAACCCCCAGGTTTTATGAAAACACATAGATAATGTTAAACATAGGTTTTCCGAAACCTAGCATGTCGTGCAATGTCTCAAATCATAACTCATATATAATAATCACTAGTGAATTGTCCGATAACCCCCAGGCCCCATGCCGGCTCCCCGTCTCTGAGCAGACAGTCAGAGGAAAATACATTTCAGGCCCCATGCCGGCTCCCTGTTCCTGTGCTAAATAGCCAGAGGAAACACACTCCAGGCCCTATGCCAACACCAAACCGTCGCCTGGGACGGACCGGAATCTATCCCTACATCCCGTAGCGGAAAGGACCACTAGGTAAGTACAAAACCATTGAACATATATATATTGAAAAACAACTTTATAGTATAAAGTCATCCATCATCTATACTATAAAGAGGTGTTCGAAACATGTTCTAAATATCATATCGTCATCCATCAGATATTCTATAAGAACACGGGTTATAGGAAAAATAGTAATAATTCAAAGTAGCCTCAGTAAGCATGTTATCTCACAAAACGTTTCATAAAACGTAATCATCAAATCATGCTTTTCATGTATGCATTTCTACTATAAAACATGCATTTTAGAAGGTGTCCACTCACAGTACTTAGCCGCCGAAGAGCCACGCAAACTAACGAACAAGAAAACGTCACCAATAATTGCCCCTAAGCACGTAAAGGGTCCAATTAATAAAACTCTATTTTAACAATTGAATTTGGGAAAACAGACGTTGGAAACAGATTCAGAACGTCAAATTACCCTAAGAAGGCTCCCGAATAAATTATGTAAAAGTCAATAGAATATTCCTAGAATATTCCCTGACGGAATATTCCCTAACGAAATATTCCCCAAAAAGGGTTTGAACCGGTTAAGGTTTAGGTTTAGGTTAAAGGGTTAATGGGTTTAGGCTAATGGGTTAGGGAATTAGGTTGATAAAAAGCCTAGGATAAATATTTGGGTTTAAGGTTTTTAAACTAAAAGGGTTTTTGGCTTTAGGGAATTGGGATTAGGATTTTAAGGAAATGGGCTTAAAGCCCGGCCCCAAGGCCAAGGGCCTAAGGCCATCTCTAACCGAGGGCTGGCCAGAGGGCTCGTTTTAGCCCTCTGGCCCTCCAAGATTCTCCAAGATATTAATATTTTAATGAACAGTACATGATCATATTTGCCTCCGTCTCCAACCGAGGGCCAAAGGGCCAGAGGGCTCGTTTTAGCCCTGTCACAAAAAACCGTCTCCAACCGAGGGCCAAAGGGCCATAGGGCCAAACATAATTTATTATTTAAAAACTACAACTAAAATGTTGTTTAAGTTTCATGTTGTATAATTTTTATGTTGGTTAATGTTATTTAATGTTGTTTCATATTGTTTAATGTTGTTTCATGTTACTTAATTTAATTTAATGTTGTATAATGGCTTAGGAAGTTATAGGAAAAAAATAGAATTTAAAATAAATATGAAACAAATTTTGTCAAATAGAAGTTATAGGAAAAAAAATGGAATTTAAAAAAAAAAATATGAAACAAATTTTGTGAAATAGAAGTTATAGGAAAAAAATGGAATTTAAAAAAAAATATGAACCAAATTTTGTGAAATAGAAGTTATAGGAAAAAATAGAAGTTAAATGAAAAATTTTGTAAATAAAAAATAATAATAATAGTGTAAAAAAAAAAATCAAATCAAATGCAACGGCTAGTAGCCGTTTCATTTGAATTTAAAAAAAAAATCCTGTCGGTTATAACCGACAGGAATACACTATTATTTAGTATATTAAATAATAACATGTATTCCTGTCGATTATAACCGACAGGAATAACAAAACTATAAAAAAAAATAGCCAGCCCGGGGCTGGCTGGCTGGCCGGAAGCAGCCAACCCTTTGGCCCTTTGAAATTCCGTGGGGCCCTCCCAGATTCTCGAGCCCTCTGGCCTAACCCTCGGTTGGAGACGGTTTTAGAGCTATTTTCGGCCCTCTGGCACTCTGGACCATTCGGTTGGAGATGGCCTAAGGGAGAGAGAGACAGCATGAAGGCTTTAAGCCTTTAAAGGCTTAGGTCTTTGGGGCTTCAACACAAACGGCCCAAAGGGCCATTAACTTAAAACAATTTAATAAAACCAAAAAAATAAGAAAACAGAAATGGGTTTGGGTTGGGCTCCGCAGGAAAGGCCCAAAGAGCCTGGGTTTGGTGGGTCGCCGGACCCAATGGGAGAGAGAGCCAGAAATCGGCCGGAAAATGCACAACCTTTAAACGGCCATAACTTTATCACTACTCAACGAAATTAAGCGAGACAAAAACGAAAGTTGTAGCCCTTGAAGAGACGAAGAGAATGGTACCTCACACGACATCTAAATCGCCGTGGTTTTGCCGGAAAATACCTCGAAAGCCTCGGAGGTCGCCGGAAACTGGGTAAGATTCAAATGAGTATAACGTCTTCAATACTCAACGAAATTGAGTGAAACAAAAAGGAAAATTATAGTACTCGATGAGACGAAGAGATTGATACCTTGAACGCCGGCCAACTAGCAGTGGTTTGGCTGAAATTATCTCGAAAGTGACGGTGCTCGCCGGAAAATTTGGAAAAGCTTTCCCGAGCTATTTTCTGTAATTCAAACGTATACACAACTTAAAACAAGCTTCAATCTAACCCTAAAACACATCCCAAGGGTTTTTAGAAGCTTACCAACGTTGAAAAATCCAGAAACTCATCGGGGAAGACGATGAACAGTACTGGCCAAATGGAAGAGAAGGGTTTGGGGTGTTCTTTCTTCAATTCTAAGCTCACTAGGGTGCTAATGGAGATGTTGATGTTGTTGTGGTGTTGTTTGTTGGTAAGAAAAGCTCTTAGAGGAGCTGAGATAGAGAGAGCCGAGAGAGAGAGAGTGATGAGGGAGAGTGAGGGAGAAGAGAGAAAGAGGAAGACTTTCAGAAAAATAAAAGAAAAAGCAAAGGGCACCGGGGGACAAAACAGGGGGTGGGCCCCTTGGGCACACCATTTAAGACCCAAAAACCATTTTAAAAGCAAGATAGTTTCAAACTTAGTGAAAATACAATTTAAATTAGGGGTGGGTGTAACAGTCTCTGCTGGAGTATCTGTTGCTACAGCTACCAAGATTCTATTTGTCTCCTCCTGCACAGTTAATCGCCACCTTTTCCACCTCGAAAGCCATTTGCTGCGTTCAGATTTGATTCCCACGTCAATTGTTCACAAACATGTCACTTGAAAGTATAGGCATTATTGTTTGGTTCAATATGGCCTTCTCACCGTGTTCTAAAGGTCGATGTGATTACTTGTTCATATGAGTATTTGAATTGACCATATTTTCGAGTTAACTATATCAAAAGTATTGCATGTTGTGGCTTGTTTAGGAGGAAGTTTAGCCAGAATCAGCCCGTATGTCTACTAATTCAGTTTATGACTGAGGTATTCAAGTTCTGGACAAGAAGAGAACACAATAGTGTGAGATGAAGTTTTAGCATTCCAAGCTCTGGCAACGTCCTTTGACATGCTCTGAATTGTGTAAAATAAGTAAAGAATGATATGTAGGACCTAGAGTGACATGTAGTGCTTAATAAAAACAAAAAGGCCAATTTTGTATTGATATTTGAAATAATCAAGAGATATGACACTGCATTTGCTTATTATTTTCTTAAAATGACAATGTATCAAAACACCACACACACTCTCTCTCTCATCAATGGAACGTAGTAATGAGGAATACGGAAAATAAATGGATGAGATTGAAAATACAGTTCTGCAAATCAACTCTAAAGGTTAAAACACGAGTCATTGAATGCTATGTAGTATTGAAGCCGAACTTCAAATGCATAGGTTTTTAGCAAGTGATTTGAAAAAGGAAGGGGTTCTTTCTTTATGGAAATTATCATTGGCCACTCCAAAAAATTTATTGTGCACCCTTTGTAAGTGTATTTTTAAATCTAAATATAAAAAGTTTGGACATTTAAACTTTTGAAGTGCTAATAACAATTCATTTTCTTATTTGAGTAGTGTTGATCATGTCAATTTTATCCTTTGCATTCAACTTTTCCATTGTAAGTAAAAATGAGTGTTGAATTTAATGGAGCTTCCTACATTGGGAAAGTGACGCTGAACATAGACGAGGGACATACACAGATACACTCCCAAAAAAGTACACTAAAGAATGAGTATATGGTTCCAAACAGGATCATGAAATACCACTCCCACCTCTTTTGCATTCATGACTTTTTGATTTGTTTAAAATTAATTTACGTGTTATAACATAAATATACGACAAATTTAGGAGATCATTTAAGGCTAAAAGTCACAAGTGGTTCATGTGGTTTGCGTTTAAGTGTTGCCTTTAAGTTGTGGCCTCAATTTCGTCACTTATACCATTGAGGTTTACTTCTGATACCAATTTTGGTCTATTCTATTGATCAATTTTCGTCAACTAGTGTAACAAGATGTTCATGTTGGCTTCACGTGTAGGAGTATTATACTTTTCTTGTATTCAATTTCACTTAATCGTTGAAAGGTGCAAGCTCAAGTTTTAGAACACGATATTTTGAGTAAGATTAGGCACTTGCAACCAAGTTTTTTCAAGTGTATTTTGAGCGAAATTAGCATTTACTCCAATTGGTTAAGTGAGATTGTACACCAAAAAGATTATGCATGGGCAATACTTGGTATGCCAAGTTAAATTAATGTTACAAGTAATCGCATGTTTGGTTGCTTCTCTAAAAACACTTGGGTTCATAACCATTTTTTCATGAAGCATGGGCTTCTATGAGTCATAAGCGCTTCTAAGTTTTTATACCAAATTGTTTGGACCCGATTTTACACCATTGGCCCGAGTAATCGAGGCCGTTGAGTGAGCATGGTTCTCAACCGTCGGATGGAAAAATGAAGATATTTTTGCTAAAGGATAATATTATGGATTTTATCATAATAATTATTTTCTTGGCATCTTCTTAAACCAGATAACTAGGATGCGATTTATATCTCAAATAGGAGGTAGATTCTCTGCCCTCCCACTTCCCGTGCCTTCCTGTTTTGTGTGGTCACGGTTAAGCCACGTCAACATTTTATATTATTTTTTTTATAGAGATAATAAGACAAAAAGGAATAGTAATATAAAATGTTGACGTAGCTTAACCGTGACCACACAAACAGGAGGGCACTGGAATGCAGAGAATCTGCCTCCTCTCAAATAAAGCAATATAGTTTGAATTGATTTGGGATGTCTGACGGCACTTGGAAGCTTAAAATGAATTTGAAATTCATTTGATCAGAATGCATGCACGACAATAAAGATGATGGCTTTTGGTGATGATGTGAGGATGAGATGAGAAACCTAGGTAGGCTAGGTTTTTAATGCATGGTGATGGTGTTGTCAGATTGAGTACAAGGCCATAAGAATTGATGATGGGATTGGGCCATATAGTCTGCATGCCGTGTGGACTGGGCTAACTATATATATATATAATAATTGGTGGCTATTTATTTGTTCATCTCCAAGCATGCGGATTATTTGGGGATTTGATGTGATAACTGATAAGACTAAACACAAGGATCAGATTTGGTTGTATTTTTGGCTAAGTTCAGAGTCTTGGGGGGAGTAAGGCTTATTCGAGGCTCAAATCAGTGGAAGAGTTCTAATAACATGGTAGTCTTTACTAGCTTATCAACCAGCGCATACTCATCCCTATAAATACAAGGCTACAAACAACGGAAAAGTCCTCTCCAAATCAACACACAAACTGCCCTACACAAACTCTAGCTCTACGCGAAACCTCTCAATAACCTTGAGATTTTTATTTTCTTTTTCGCCGACACATCTTCAGTATAGATAAACAGCACTGTGAAGGCTGTTGGGTTTTTTCCAGCCCATGATTAATTGTCCTAAGTCCATTGGGAATTAATAGTCTTAGAGGATTAAATTGTTTTCCCAATTGGAGTTGTTTTCCCAATTGGAGTTAGTTTCTCAATTGGAGTAGGATTCATAACTAGATTCCAATTAGGATTAATAATCCTTATTGAAGAAGACCTTTATTATGTCTATATAAGGGGGCTATTGTACTAGTTTTGAGGGGGGAGCAAAACAATAAATTGTATACCACTCAAGGGATTAGAGTGAGATAATATTGTAAAGTGTGTGCGAGAGAAAAGAAAAGAGATATTGTATTTCTTGTTCTTGTTCTTTCAGGTTTTTCGTCAAGTCCTAGTTCTAGAGATTTGGCAAGATTATTGGTTGTACTCATTATTGATATAGTAAAAGATTGTTGCTGCTGTCCCATGGACGTAGGCACATATTGCCGAACCACGTAAGTTCTTGGTGTTATTTATCTTGGTTATTTGTTTTTCGATTTCCGGAGTTTGTTCTTGTTTTTCCCATTCTTAAACGCAATATTCTCAACAAGTGGTATCAGAGCATGGTTTGTCTGATATCTGTTTAGAATGGAGGGTGCAACCCGCTTTAATTGGGTTACATGGAAATCAAGAGGAGGACATGCTTTACTGAAGGTGTTAAGAGCAAGCCAACAAGTATGTTTGATGCTAATTGGACCAAGATGAAGATAAGCGATGTTTTCTGGCAAAGAAGTCTATAATTTCCTTTGCCAATGACGATGGTAGTTTTTATTAGGGGGAGCCTTGGTCAAGAGAAGTCTAATCAAGAGGGTCTTGGTTAATGAGTAGTTCGATCAGGGGGAGCTTGGTTATGGGTAATTCGATCAAGGGGAGTCTGGTCATGAAAAGTTCGATCAATGGGAGTTTGGTCAAGATGAGCAATCCTATTATGGTATACCTTCCTCATGGTCTGGAGGGGGAGATTGTTGGATTTTTTCCAGCCCATGATTAGTTGTCCTAAGTCTATTGGGAATTAATAGTCTTAGAGGATTAAATTGTTTTCCCAATTGGAGTTGTTTACCCAATTAGAGTTAGTTTCTCAATTGAAGTAGGATTCATAACTAGATTCCAATTAAGATTAATAATCCTTAGTGAAGAAGACCTTTATTATGTCTATATAAAAGGGCTATTGTACTAGTTTTGAGGGGGAGCAAAACAATAAATTGTATACCACTCAAGGGATTAGAGTGAGAGAATATTGTAAAGTGTGTGCGAGAGAAAAGAAAAGAGATATTGTATTTCTTGTTCTTGTTCTTTCAGGTTTTTCGTCAAGTCCTAGTTCTAGAGATTTGGCAAGATTATTGGTTGTACTCATTATTGATATAGTGAAAGATTGTTGTTGCTGTCCCGTGGACGTAGGCACATATTGCCGAACCACGTAAGTTCTTGGTGTTATTTATCTTGGTTATTTGTTTTTCGATTTCCGGAGTTTGTTCTTGCTTTTCCCATTCTTAAACGCGATATTCTCAACAAAGGCAACCGACGAACACCTTCAATTTGGATAAATAGCACTGTTGCCGTATAATCAACCGACCACGGAGCACCTTTAGTTTGGATAAACAACATTGCGTCGAGGCCGACTGGTTATCTATCCAAGTCTCGGTCAAGAAGGGTTTTCAAATCCTTATTGGCAGAGATCATCTCACTAGCCTTCTCGGCGAGGTGAGGTGTTACAAGTTACTGGGCTCGGCACATTGAACGTCAAGTTGTTTTATGATTGGATATTTGCAAGTGAGTTTTAGAGTTCGGCATTTTGACTGTCGAACCACATTCACCATCAAGACATACATCTCTTTTGAGTACTTGTGTCCGTATACTCTGGTGTCGATTCGGCGTGCTTGTACTCTTACGAATATAATCACTGTGACCGAATCCGGTGCCAATGATTTGTGAACTTCGTAGAAATAGTAGCCTTGTCTTAAGGCTCTAGAACCTAAAGGCCAAGACGTGTTCCTTCCTCGGCCGCAGTCGCAAGATCGAGCAGCTCGCCCAATGCCGCATCCACACATTTTA